AGGATGGACAATGGTTTGGAATTTTGTGATGGAGAATTTAATGAGTTCTGCAAGACTCACGGGATTGTGAGACATCACGCAGTAAGGAAGACTCTGCAGCAGAATGGAGTTGCAGAACGGATGAACTGAACGCTATTGGAGCGGGCTCGGTGTATGTTGTCTAATGTAGGGTTAGACAAAGCGTTTTGGGTTAAAGCTATTTCCACAGCTAGTTACTTGGTCAACCGGTCTCCATCAACTGCTATCGGGTGTAAGACTCCAGGTGAGGTATGGTCTGGTTCTCTTGCTAGTTACAGTAATCTGAGAATATTTGGATGTCCAGCGTATGCTCATGTGAATGAGGGGAAGCTTGAATCGAGGGCTAAGAAATACATATTTCTTGGTTATCAGCCTGGGGTCAAGGGATATAGATTATGGTGCCGAGAGGCTTCGAGAAAGAAGATACTTGTTAGCAGGGATGTGACCTTTCATGAATCTACGATACTTACTCCGCAGAAGGAAGTAGTTGATTCAGGGAAAGCTCAGGGTGTTAGTGAGTAGGTGGAGCATGTAGAGGTTCAGTTAGAGGATAGTCCTGTTTGGTTGACTCACAAGCAGGTGCAGTTTTGGGCTGAGGGAGTTGCACAGTTGCAACAGTATAGTGTGGCTAGAGACAGGCTTAGGAGGGATATTAGGCCACTTGAGAAGTATGTGTGTTTTCACATGCTGATTCGGTTGCTTATGCACTTAGTGTGGCAGAGGATATTGATGAGCCGTGTACTTATCATGAGGCCATCACAGGTGGAGAGTCAACGCAGTGGTTTGTTGCAATGAGTGAGGAGATTGAGTCTCTTCATAAGAACCAGACTTGGAAGCTAGTTAAGAAGCCTAAGGCCAGAAAATTGTAGGCTGTAAATGGGTCTTCAAGAAGGAAGGAATTCCAGGGGTAGAAGATGCGAGGTACAAGGCACGCTTGGTGGCACAGGGCTATAAACAGGGAAGGGGTGGACTTCAATGAAGTGTTTTCTTCTGTGGTGAAACATAGCTCAATTCGAGTGTTACTTGCTATCGTTGTTCTGTATGACTTGGAGCTTAAGCAGCTTGACGTCAAGACTTCTTTCTTGCATGGTGAGTTGGAAGAGCAGATTTATATACATCAGCCTGAGGGGTTTAAGATTCTGGGAAAGGAAGATCATGTTTGCCACCTGAAGAAGTCCTTGTATGGGCTGAAGCAGTCTCCTAGATAGTGGTACAAGCGATTTGACACCTTTATGGTTGGGAATGGCTACTGTTGGAGTAAGTTTGACAGTTGTGTGTATCACAGGAAGCTCTCAGATGGTTCGTATTTGTACTTGTTGCTGTATGTTAATGACATGTTGATAACTTGCAATTACATGTCTGAAATTAACATGTTGAAGGCTCAACTTAGTGGTGAATTTGAGATGACGGATCTTGGTGCTGCAAAAAGGATATTGGGAATGGAAATTCACAGGGACAGAGGAGCGGGTAGATTATATTTGTCACAGAAGAAATACATTGAGAAGGTGTTGGAACGCTTTGGTATGCAGGCATCAAAACCTGTGAATACTCCATTGGCTGCCCACTTTAGACTTTCAACACAATTGTCACCACAGATCGAGAAGGAGGTAGAGCACGTCTCGTGTTCCTTATGTTAGTGTAGTTGGTAGCCGTATGTATGTTATGGTGTGCACTAGGTCATACATTTCACATGCAGTTAGTGTAGTGAGTAGATACATAGACTAACCTTATGTATGTTATGGTGTGCACTAGGTCCATTGGCAGGCTATGAAGTGGCTAACCTTATATATGTTATGGTGTGCACTAGGTCCATTGGCAGGCTATCAACTTCTTTCATGCTGCCCCTGTCATAGACTAACCTTATGTATGTTATGGTGTGCACTAGGTCCATTGGCAGGCTATGAAGTGGCTATTATGATACTTGCGAGACACTGCAGATGTTGGGTTAGTCTATGACAGGGGCAGCGACATGTGTGGGAGTGTTGTTGGATATGTTGATTCGGACTATGCTGGAGATCTTGATAGGAGGAGGTCCTTGACAGGGTATGCCTTCACTCTTTGTGGGAGTGTAATCAGTTAGAAAGTGGCTCTGCAGCCCGTAATTGCATTGTCTACTACTGACGTTGAGTACATGGCAGCCACAGAGGCAGTGAAGGAAGCTATATAGTTGAGAGGCTTGGTTGGTGATTTAGGCTTACAGCAGGATGATTTGATTGTGTTTTGCGACAACCATGAGTGCCATACATTTGATTAAAAATCAGATGTTCCATGATAGGACCAAGCACTTTGATGTCAGGTTTCACTTGGTGCTATTGCAATGAGGAAGATTGGGACAACAGAGAATCTAGCAGATATGATGTCTAAGGTCATTCCTACACTAAAGTTCAGACATTGTTTGGACTTGATTGGTACTTGCAGTTGCTGGGGCCCTTAGGGGCATGTGGAGACGGCGAAAGGAGTAGCTGGAGATTGTGGAGCTTGGCGTAATTCTAGCCAAGATGGATATTTGTGATATTGTGGCCCGAATTTCCGTGTTGCGACTCGCTTATGACCCAACAACTCGTTGGATGAACTTTGTGTGGGTCGGTTGTTGCTCATGGGTCGTGGACCTTAATTAGTCTCTTGTAACTTAATATATAAAGGGCGCTTAGGGTTTGGAGTGGTGTAAGAGAAACAGAGCGAGGGGCTGAAAACGTGGTATCTCCGATTTTACACATTGTGAAAACTTTCGCTGGATCCCAACCGTGGATGTAGGCGGTTGCTGAACCACGTATAAATCTTTGTGTTCTTTGTGTGGCGTGTTTAATTTTCTATCGTGATTCTTGGTTTAACTTGGATTCGTTGCATCTGTCATAACACTTCTCAAGGGCCTTTATCTCTTTAAGCATCGCTTCCTTCCATGGAGTTTGACTGAGAGCATCTGAAACACTAGAAGGAACAGATATAGAGGAGATACATGAAGTGAAAGCACGATATGTTGGTGATAAGGCATCATAGGATACAAACTGAGATATGGAATGTTTTGTACAACTACGAACACCCTTACAATAGGGAATAGGGACATCAAGGTCAACAGGAATGCTATTGGGAAAAAAATCAGGAGTATCAATGTCAATTGAGGAATTTCCTAGATCGAGGGAGACTTCTTGGTCCCGGGGTGAGTCAATGACTTGTTTTGCCTTCCTAGTGTATACAATTGGATGCTTTCCCTACTGTCATTAGTGTTAGGAGGACTAGACGTAGGCACTTCAGTAAGAAGCTCCCCCTGAGTGGGAGCAGGCAAAGGAAGGGGGCATTCCCTCTGAATGGACGACAAATTCTCTGCTTGTATGGGATGTAGTAAAAAGCGACCACGCAGTCACTACACAAACCCTAGAAAGCAACAAAGTAGATCATACTAGAATCACGAACGACGAAGAAAAAACCGTTGCTGCTGAACCACACGAACACGAAAAAAACACCAATTGAGACTGCAACAGATCAAAAATAGTTCCAATTTTTTTTTTCTAGGGCCGAACCCCGAGCAAGGGCTCGCTGCCCCCTGCGACCCCCAGCTAACTCACCGCGGAGTTGGATCTGCAGTACATGTGGATGTGATCAACACTACTTCCTTGCAAACAAATCTCTTCTTGGAATCTCTTCAAAACCCTTCACACCCACTAGGGTTTACACAAACTTGCCTTAGGATTTCAACTATACACCTAGCGCTTTACAAACCTGTCTCTGATACCATGTTGATTTTAAGATATAATCAAATCAAGAGTAAAGTATAAGAAGAAGAAAAAGGATGAGAGAGAAAGAGAGAAATAATGAAAGAATACTTTCATCCTTCCATCTTATTTTATTTATACTAACAAGTTTCATAAAGAGCACATAAGCCCCAGTAACATATAAGTACTAACAAATAAACCCGTAATAACAAATAAGCCCCTGACAACACACTTAGTGTGGTTTCTGCACTGCCCTTTAAAAAGATTTAAGTTGATTGTTGGCTTATGGGGGCTACCTTCCACCTGTTACTCAATCTCATGGGTTCGAGTCCTAGGCTAGTGATGTGTTCTGGAGGGGCGACTCGAGGCGCCCCTTGTTATCACAAGGGTAGCATAGGGAGGACTAACCGCCTCCACCTGTCGTTGCTGTATAGGCAGCATTGCGAAGCTCCTCATGTCCACCCACCGCTTAGTGTGGGTTCTGCACTGCTCTTTAAAAGATTAAGTTGATTGTTGGCTTATGGGGGCCAGCATCCACCCTGTTACTTGAGGCTCCCCTTGTTAGCACGGGGGTAGTGTAGGGTGGACTAGCCGCCTCCGCCCGTCGGTGCTGTATGGGCAGCGCAGCGCTGCAAAGCTCCTCATGTCCGCTCACCGCTTAGTGTGGGGTTCTGCACTTCCCTTTAAAAGCTTAAGTTGCACCTTCCCTAACAGCAATTGCTTTGGGGAGAGTTGGTAAGATCCTGATAGTTACATTTGTTCAGTTTTGGTTAGTGATTGGTTCATGCATAATTTTGGAGTATAGAATGAAATCCATGAAAATAGCTGGGGCAAGGCTGTGTGTTGATTAGTTAAGTGGAAGCCTTGTGAATGGGTTAATGAACGGGCAACACTAAATGTTTATTACGTGACTGTTTGGAAGTCCTCTATATTTAAGAGGCCTTTCTCACTCTTTATGAGGCTCCCGTAATAGAAATAAGTCATCTTGAATGGATCCATTAAAGAAATAGAGAACTTCATTGTATTTATTCTTTTCATTTTCATGTTTTGCTAAAAATGAGAACTCACACTTTTAATATCATTTTGGAGATGGCAACCATTTTCTCAAATGGCTCTATCCATGACAATATGGTTCTACATTTAAAATTCCATGTAAAAAATGAAAGGACGACTTCAAATTCAAGGGACATCAAAACAGGATCAACATAATTTCATCAGTTCTCTTAAAGAAGTTAAAAATGATCTTAGTTTTAATCTGTTGATTTTCTGTAGATGCTGGAGGAAACAACTGTTGACTGCAAAAGATACCAGGCGAGTCGACATATTGTGCTATCGTGTGTCCTTGAGCCAAAAGCTCGTTGCTGGTGCGAAATGTTACCAAAAGCTTTATGAAATTGTGGATGAAGCAGTGAAGAAGCTTGAAGCAGATGTAGGTCCTTTAACTGGCTCACCTGTGAAGATGGCCAGGGGTATTGTTAATAGGCTCTCTTCAGGACCGGAGGTGCAGAGACTCTGTGCTTTTGCTGTGGAGTCCCTAGATTCCATGCTTTCGGAAACTGGTTGCCATCCTTCATCCAATCCTGTGATCCAAGGTCATCTTTTAATACTGCACTTTGATACCAAAATACTACTTGGGGATTTTCCATGATCCTGAGATGAGTTGGTGATCCTGTGTAACAGATGAATGGTTGACTTGCACTGTCACTAATTTTTCAAGTTTTACCTGCATGTTTTTATTTATTAAAAGGTGGCGTGCCAGTTTGTCCAGTCTTCTTGTTATACATGTTGCCACTTGACCTTTTTTGTTTCTGGATAATCCAAGAGGCTTGTTGATTATGAAAGTGTTGTCTTTTTATTTTGTGCATTTGTTACTAGAAACATCATGGCTATTGGTTCAAATTGTAGTAACCTTTCAGCTATTACTTGGATTTTTTAAATTTGCAGATTTCAATTTGATTGCTCCAAACATTATCAGATTTGAAGATGTCTGCACCTCATCTCTTACCTTGATATTGGGTTCTGAAGTTGCTTCAGTCAGAAATTTTGTGGGTTATTACTTGTGGCATCGTAAAGTTGATGATATGAGTTATCCACCAGAACCGACTTGTACATTGTTCGCACCAAATACAAGGTTTACACTCTCAGGTCTAACTCCTTCTACAGAGTATCTTTTCAAGGTTGTTTCCTTTGATAACACTAGGGAGTTGGGGGTGTGTGAAGTTCGGTTCAAGATGGGCAGTGACGGGGATGGAGGCCCCAGTGCAAAGACCTTGGTAGTAGAAAGAAGTCAGAGTCCAGCAACCAACTGTAGCAGCCTATCCAATCCTTCTTCGGTGGAAGATGAAAGTAACAATGTTATTCCCTGCAGCAATGAGGATGAGACCCATGAGGACAATTATCTTGCTTACTGCAAAAACACTGATAAAATGGTTTCTGCAGAGCTATCTAATGACATGATTGACTGCATTGGCACAGGTGAAGGAGGAAACCTAGGAGATTCTGTGTCTGTTTTGGATGAACTTGCTGTGCGGAAAATCAACTTTACATCAAATTCTGATGCCCTCCAGCTTGAGAACAAGCAATCTCCGGATGGCCAAGAGACCAGTACTGATAATGGGTCAAATGCCCCTGTCCCAACTGGCATGGAATCTGTGCCGCTTGTGGGTGGCTCTGAAGCTGGCTTACCCATCACTCCATGCAAGTTGGAGAATGTCAAGGATGGGCTAGGAAGAAACGGAAGGCCCAAACCCAGCAGCAAGGATGTCGATAATGGGTTTGGGAGGGAAGAGGAGCCCCAAGCTGGCAGCTCATCGAAGAAGAGAAGTGGAGGAAGACGAGACGAAGAGTGTGCTGGAAATGGTGATAGTGATCTTGAGTATTATGTGAAGGTGATACGATGGTTGGAGTGTGAGGGACACATTGAGACAAGCTTTAGGCAGAAATTCTTGACTTGGTACAGCTTGAGAGCAACCCCACAGGAGGTGAGGGTTGTGAAGGTGTTTGTGGATACTCTTATTGAAGATCCTGCTTCTCTTGCTGGGCAGCTTGTTGACACGTTCTCGGAAGCTATTTCAAGCAAGAGATCTGTGGTACCGGCTGGGTTCTGCCTTAAGCTTTGGCATTAACAGTTTAGCAAAGGCCCTGCAATATTTATTAGTATGGAAACCAATAGTGTTTAAGGTTGGTCGGCCTTTGATTCTTTGGACCCTTTCGAAATATTCTTCATTTAGACTACAATCAATCATTCATATTTAATAGTTGGAATTAATTTACTGCTTTCATGATGTAAGAACATTAAGCTCGATTGTTTTCTATTGTTAATAGAACAGTTGGTGTCTCTCTCATTTATGGACTGGATAGATGTGCTTCCTCCTAGTACAAGCTCTCTTTCCAATCCTACATGCAGTAGATATAGATAGATAATGTAGTGCGGTTCACCTCATCTCCTCCTTTGTAACTGTACGTCTGATTTTCTTTTTGCTATTATACCCGCTAATTTTTCATTTTTTTGAATTATATACCTACAAAATTTTGATTTTGTCCTTTCAACAATTTTAAAAGATGGATAGTTCCCTCTCACGTACCTGAAGACTCAATCAAGTCACTCATGCACCCGTAGCTCCTCCCATCATCAATCTTGTTTAGTTGGCCAACATTCTTCAGAAATGTCTAATTATACACGTTAAAAGAGCTAATAAATAAAAATAATTACTAAAAAAACAAGTTACTCTTTAGATCCCAATTACCCTCAATTATTTTTAAAATTTTCATCCATTTTTAGTTCGGACAAAAAAACAAACCGAAGGTGCTACAAATTACTGCCTAAACATGGTTTCCATGTACGTGGAGAGGCAAACTTGGATTGGAGTTGCACAACCAAAGATACAAAAAATGGATTCTCTATTTAGATCCACAACCTATATTGATACGCACAAATTATAGAATAATATGTGTGAGTCTATATAAAAGGATTGATTGTGTTACTAGTAGGAAAGAATTGAGAACACCATTTTAACAGAAGATCAAGGTTTACAACGCCATTGATTTTGCTTACAGGGTAAACTTTTTTTTGGAGGGAGTTAAATTTTTTTTTACGGTAGAGAGCGAAGGATTGGAAGAAGCGATGAAACTAGGGCTTGATGCGGTGGCGTATGGAGGTACCGTCTGTCGGCGTGGTCCGCGAAGGCGTCTGGTGGTGAATCGGCGTGGCCGGCGAAGACAGCTCTCATTTGACGTCGGTTGAAGATGAGGGCAAGTTCCGGCGAAAAATTGCAGCTACCCTGTTCGTCCTAGTCCCGATTCTTCATTTTCTATGCTTCTTGTTCTTCCCTCTTCTTTGGGACTGCCGTTTATTCGCTCTCTCTCTTTTTCCTGGTTGGTGAAGGATGAGAGGAGGGTTTTAGGGACTGATTGGTGTGTGAATGGTGTGTTAATGGCATGCGGGTTCGGATCGGATTTTGGAGGGTCCGATGCCGCTACCCACCAATTTATCGGGTGGCGTACGGGATATACACATGAACCGGGCCGGATCGCCGTTTTTTTGAATATCAGAGGCAGCCCACGCTCCAGCAGCTGCAGCATGATTTAACTTAAAAAGTTGGAAAAAGGTTTCATACATTGGACCCCTTACGGTCTTATCCCCTGAGCATTTTAACCACTGATCCACAAGGCGTTCCAGGTTTAAGAATGATACTTTTAACTTGTTTCTCCATGTACATATATATATATTTTGTTTAGATGAGAAATGAATTTTAATTTATTTAATGTTTAGTTCCAGGTTTAAGAATGATACTTTTAACTTGTTTCTCCATGTATGTGTGTGTGTATATATATATATATATATATATATATATATATATATATATTTGTTTATTTATTTAGATAAGAAATGAATTTTAATTTATTTAATGTTTAGTGGTATTATTATTCATTATAAATATTATTATTATACTTTTTAATAAGATTAACAATATATAATTTATAAAAAGGTCACTAATTCAATAAAAAATATTAAAATTTATTAAAAACACATTTTTGTTGAATTGTGTTTGATGGGGAAAAAATAACCCTATGTTAACCTGCCACTAGTTCTCGTCAACTTGCTAAGGATATTTTTGAAAACCATGCCGAAATCATCCGTTGCGAAATGTCGCGACAACGAATTCCCTGCTCTCATAGAAAGATAGGTCTCCATATCAAGATTCCCCCATCCATCATATTGGGGCAGAACAGTGGGTCGCATGATGCCACCCTGTGTATAATGACGGTAGTCAAAGTTTGACACATTGACCCCGACACCAGACCAACGTGTCTGGTGACTTCCATCTGGCGGTACTTGGTCTCTTCGCTACTAAGGTCTGGTTGCCGAAGACCAAATCCTATAATTTAATGGAAGCTAATCATTCCACACCTACATAAACAGGTGGGTTTCTACTCACCAAGGAGGTCCGATATTAATCTCTCAAGATCCTATGTCCAATGAGGTTCCTAAGTTCAGGGCGATCATTGCGCTTAACAAGGTACTCAACTAGTGGTCACCAGGCCATCATCCGTCGGACGTTGGGCACTATGTCTTCATCCACCAAGTATCAAGCCAATCACTGACACCCAGTCCACCGCTATTAAACGTCTATAGAATGGGTCCTCACCCAACATCCCACATTTATCATACTGGGAGCAGAGTAGAGAATCACATAATATCAATCGCCAATCTACATATAATGATAAGGTTTAGAAGATTGACACATTAATCTTAGTACATCAGGACAGCCGAGTTCGTGGTCTTACTCCCCTAGCTAGTACCTGACCCCTTGGGCTACCTGGTCTTCTGAGACCGGACACTGATCGTCCAAGATCAATGCCCGATCATCCAAAGGTCTCTATACACCAAAAAGGACATTAAGTCCAATGAAGTTTCTACAATCGACGAGTTCACCACGTCTAAGGTGGTCACATGCCTAATGAGGTTTTTGACCATCAAGTACCAAGGATAGTCTCTTCTACCAGGAACCAAGCATGGTCTCCTGTAAATCAAGTCTGGCGGGTCTTTGCCACCGTAGCCATAGTGCATGACAAACATAAGGGATAAGCTCACGAAACTAAATAATTTTACTCCCTTATTAAAGGGCATGCTCATGGAACTTTAAAAAAAAAGAAAAAGAAAAAAAAAAGGAGCCTATTCCCTTATTAAAGGGCAAGCTTATAAAGCTTGGGTAAAGCATCCCCTTATTAAAGGGGCGAGCTAGGTAGGGTGAAGTTTCGTAAAAATTAACCCTTTATTAAAGGGGCAAGTTGAGTGAAGCTCAGAAAAATTAAACCCTTTATTAAAAGGGTGGGCTGGGTGAAGCTATTATTCCCCTTATCAATGGGGCAAGCCGAGTGAAGCTTGAACATATTAGGAACCCCTTAGTAAAGGAGTATGAACAACTACTCCCCTTATTAAAGGGTCGAGACAGTGATGGTTAAATATATCTAAATATGACTCTAAAAAGAGAAAACGGTTCCAATACCAAAAGTTAGGTCATAAAGGTGCGCCCAGGGGTACAACACTTGGGCAAGCACATTGCCCAAGGGTATAACCCCTGGTTATCAGAAATCAAGGCTTAGTTATTCGAAACCAAGACTAAGGTTTGATTGCCTTAGTCTTGGTTCGGTCATCCAACACCAATGCTTGGTCACCCCAGGTCTAGTCATTCGAGAACAAGACCAGGACCGGGCTAACAAAAGTTTGGTCATCCAAGTTTAATGCCTAGTTACTAAGGCATGGAAACGGTTTGGTTATTCGAGATCAAGGCATGATCGCTAAAAAAAAAAAAAAAAAATCCCATCTTGGGAATAGTACCCGGACATTGTTCACCTCGGGAATAGTGAGGTACTGTTCACCTTGGGAATAGTGACTCAGGGTGAAAAAAAACTTTACCTCGGGAATAGTGACCCGGGGTGAAAAAACTACCTCGGGAACAGTACCCGGAGGTACTATTCACCTTAGGAATAGTGACTCGGGCGAAATAAAAAAAAATATATCCTAGTCCGTTCCGAATCAGGAAATAAGGGCAACTGATGGGGAAAAAAATAACCGTATGTTAACCAACCACTAGTTCTCCTCAACTTGCTGAGGAAAATGATGTCGTCATTCGATTCCCGAGGATAAATGAAATATGTTATTGATGATAGCTCAACTAACTCCGTTAATAATGAAGGGGATCTCAACCATCGACATCAGCTGAACCAACTTGATTCCAATCGACAACCACAAATAGGGCGTTGGGCTATTAAAGAAGGTATATAAAAAAAAACCCCTAAACATTAAATACATAATTATTTTTTTTGTGATACGATTACAAGTACTAATTTGATCGCTGGAGGGTCCTCGGTCGGCACCCCACTTGGGCCATTCAAGGTGACGTCCCGTTGTTTTGCAAGTAAACGTCGTCGTTCTGGGTCACGAAGATTTTCGCATCAACAGTGTTCATGCTTGATATTTTTTTATACAATTGAGTAAAAGTATATATATATGTATTTCTTTACTCACATTTTAGATATAGAATGAATGTTTATTTATTTAATGATTAAATTTATTATTTTTCATTAATTTACTAAAAATATAATTAGGATCATTTTTGGCGGGAATAAAGTAGTCCTTTCCAAATGAATGGAAAGGTTCGGGAGTGCCAGGAGTTGCAGGCGTTCCAAAGGAGATTTCCAAACAATATTCCAATGCATCCATGCCCATACGGGAAAAGTAAACAACTAGCATGCTTTTCTACAAAAGTAAAATTACGCATTTCATGGAAATCAAATGTAATGAATGCTCATGAAGTCGGAAATCAAATCCGAACAAGAAACGGAACTCAAAAACTCATCCCGAGTCTCAAAAACCCTAAGGTTACGCGAAAGAGAAAAATGCCAGAAAAAGAGAGAAGATAACACGGATCTCACGAGGACGACATCAATCTTGAAAGAAAAGAGTGTTAGAAACTATTCCCGAGCACTTAAGACGACCCAAAGGGACAAAACCCGAACTTTAAAAATGAACTTTAACGGAAAAAGAAAATCTGTAAAAATGGGAAAAAAGCCGATCATTACAAACTAGCACCTCTGGAAAAGGGGTACCTCCCCAACTACTGGGTTTTCGAAAACCTTTTTCCAAAACTTTTCAAATCCACATTCCACCACCTCACATTCCCACACACATGCCTCCTCATACACCCACATAAATGACCATGAAATAATGCTAATGCTATGTGGATAAATATCATACATATATATATATATATATATATATATATATATATATATATATATTTATTTATTTATGATTATGTTGAATCATGTTATATAGCCT